TCATAACGATATGTTCGATATCTTTCTTAGATTCCGCGATATTGATTGAAAACCCCCCAGTGAGCAAAATCGATTGAGACTGCTTCATCGCTGAGCTACTAAATTCATCTAGCTGATGAAAAAAACGTTTCGAGAAATAAGTAATATAATCTACGGCATAATCAAGTCACATTTTCCCCTATAAATTGCTCACATTTTTGAATTTCCGAATTTGGCGCACAATTGCCTGTAGTTCATTGAAAAGGGACACTGGCACAACAGTAACATAACCTCAAATGTCTTACAGTTGACATACAATAACATCGATTCAAAAGTGTGGTCAAGTCCAGAGGTACCAATTGTTTCGTTTTATTTGTGAAAAATTATAAGTATCATGAAGTTCCGTGATAGATGCTGTAATCCTTTAAAATTGGCAAACCATGTTGTTAAAAAAATATTACGTAAACCATCCGATGCTTTGATTGCCGAAGTTCCTGCATTGAAAGGTGCTAAAATTTGTAGTGGTCGGCAAGTACTGGGGAAATTACCGAGTAGTGTTTTGCGGATTATTATGGTTGATGAAACTGATGACAGTAACGAAGCCCAGGATAAATAAAACGTTAAAGTAATTGAAGTGAGTGAATCTGTAGATGAATTGTGTGTCGTACCTGAAAATAAACCCGTAATAGAGAAATCTATCGGTGAACCTGAGGCACCCACTTATTATCCTCAGATGGAGAAACTCTTGTCTGGTCTATCAGAAGTATCTTTGTCCCAGTCATCTGGTGCCAGTCAACAATCTCTCGTAAGATCACAGTCGACAATAATCAATTCCGCAACAACCCTCAGTCAAACAACGAACGCAAGTGATGAAACGTACTGTCCCACTCCTCCCCAATAACCCAAAGTCTACTGCAATGATGTCGATGATAAAAACATCAACTTCGCACAAGCTGGAGAAGAAATGCTGAAACAATTACAGGAGAGATATTCAGACCCCACGACGACCAAAGTGGAGAAATACTTGATTCTTTCAGTTGTTCCCAAGAGTTGGACTATCAGGACGACTGCTCATTTTTTCAATACTACTCGATGGATGGTGAAGAAAGCCAAAGCCTTAGTCGATCAGGAAGGAATTTTAAGAGCTCCTTAGCAGGGTGTTGGTACGAGAATGGACCAGAACTTGACACACAGTTGATACCATTAAGGCTTTTTATGAGCATGATTCAAACATAAATTGTCGTCGTACAAAGATTTGATCGCTCTTATCACCTGCAACAACCCAACACCTCAGTGTCATTTGGGAGAGTGTCTAGAATGTCCCGACTCAACGGTTCTGAAAGAATTTCTTCAGGAAATTTTTGATGAAAATGATATTGATCGAGTAGAATATCACTCATGGACTGAGACTGATCGTGCAGCAATGACAGTGAACGTGTTGACCGGTGATGCATTTGTTGAAAGTGTGAGGGAAAAAACTGTGCAGCTCAAAACACACGCATTCATCACCAAACAACAATCTGAATACGTGAACTACAGAAAAAACAAATTACAGGAAGGAGAATTCATTATTCAAATGGATTTTGCAGAGAACTATGTCTTCGTGGCACAGGATGCCATCCAATCATTTCATTGGAGCAATAATCAAGCTACAATTGTCACTATTGTATATTATTACAAACTTGATAATCAACTTTTACATGGCTCCATTGCAATCTTATCAGATAATCGTGAGCACAATATGGCTGCAGTCTATAAGTTCCAGAAATTAATACTTCAATATTTGCAAAGTAAATTCAAGGTTACTGAAGCTATTTACTTCACTGATGGAGCAGGCCAGTATTTCAAGAACCGGTTCACTGTTGCAGAACTTGATGGAACATGTCAATGTTTTTAAAATATGCTGCAGAGTGGCATTTCTTTGCCACTGTACATGGCAAAGGACCATGTGATGGTATTGGTGCAAATTTGAAGAGATCTGCTACTCGAGCCAGCCTTCAAGCTAAATCCTCTGCAGATCAGATCCTAAACGTACATGCGTTATTTGAATGGGCGGTTCAGCACTTTCACACAACAAAGATCATGTTTAGTCCTACAGTTGACCAGCTTAAAGCTGCTGAATACCTCACTGATAGGTTCAAGGGTGCAAAACCCATCCCAGGCATCCAAAAGACCCACTCATTCGTGGGGAATGATGGAAATCAAGTGTGCTTAAGAAGATATTCGTTTTCTATAGAGTTTGCTCTTTTCCCTACGAAGCCGCGTCAATCCAGGAAAAGAAAAAGGTGATCATCATACAGCAAAATGCAAAAATAATTCCTTAAATTGAGTATTAAGAAGTTGTAGATGATAAAGTTCTCAATTTCTATTGAGAAAATGTCAAATAAAGAAAATGATTGAAGAGGTCTGTAAGGATTTAATTATATTTTTATGATTGAAAATTCGAAAATAAGAGCAATTTATAAGAAATAATGTGATTCGATGACGCTGTAGAGTCTATTATTCATTTCTCAAAACGTTTTTTTTTCAGCCTCATCAATTCAGTAGTCGAGCGGTAAAACAGTCTAAATCGATTTTACTTACTGGGGGGTTTTCAATGAATATCTCGAAATCTAAGAGAGATATCGAACATTTCGTTAGGACCTTGTTTGAAACGCAACTAAAATTCCAGAACATTCTGGTCGACTAGCTCGGCCTACTTCGAAAATCTCCGGGACCCTTCGGGTCATCGGTCATAAGTGACCGAAACACGCGTGAATCAGTTTAGGCTTAGCCTCTCACCGTATAAGTCTGTCTCGAGCAAATCACCTGTAGAAGTCGTATAGTATCAGTACAGTTCCGATCAGTACATCAACTCAGTTCATTTATTCAGTTTTATAAATTCAGTCTAGAGTCAATCAACGCAGTTGAATAATTATCAGTGTAAATTCAGTAAATCAATTAACAACTTTCTAGAGACATTCAACCGTGTATAAAGTGTACATATTTTCAAACTTTGGTGGCTGTTGGCCACCAATAAATTGTGACTTTAGAAAAATCACTATTTTTTCTTTCACGGCTCATCCTACTTTAACTATCCTCTAACACCTCCCACAATCCATCCAATTTACAGATCCTCTCCTCAAACAGACCTTTTTTGTAGAGCGGATTGAGATCTACAAAAAAGGTAATTCTAAAAACTTTGCTATCTCCGTTAGATGCGGAGATATTCCCATAAAACTCATCTAAGAGCTGTATTGACTTCAATTTTTCCTATCGCTGAGCTACCAAATTTTGGCTTTCCATTCTGAATTTTTTTTGTGATGTCCTAGAAGTCTGAAAAACTACATAAAAAAATATTTAAAAAATTGAGTGTCCAAGTGGAGGAAAAAAAAATATTTTCCTCTTTTTTTTATATAAAATGGATCTTCTAATGATTTGCGATTTTTGATGATTCTTCCATCTTGAAGATCGGAAAAAATACACTTTTTTTTTAATCATAATTTTTGAATGCATAGAACCGGAGAAATGGGGTATTTTCATCAGACAAGAGAATTTAATTGCAGGAGAAGAATGAGCGATCCAAAAATTCTGAAAAAAATTTAGTATACTTTTTTCGAATCACAGAACACCCTGAAAAATTGGCGAGACATTCTGAGACATCATGGAAAATGACTGTCCGATTTGACGGAGAATGCCCCATATAAAGATCAGCCGAGTCCGAAGAATCACATGAATCCGAGGGTCAAAAGAGCACGAGGGTGAATATAAGGGTCAATTGAGTATGGGTCAGATGAGTAGAAGTCTCAGTTGAGTTTAAAGGTTAGATGCGTCTCAGTGATAGTTGAGTTTAAGGGTCAGATAGGTCTAAGGATTAGTTGAGTCCGAAGGGTCATGCGAATTTGAGGGTCTATTGAGTACAGGTCAGATACGCAAATGCTTTAGTTCAGTTTAACGGTCAATTGCGTCCAAGTGTCAGTTGAGTTTAAGGGTCAGATGGGTCTAAGAGTTATTTGAGGCCGAAGGATCAGGCGAATCTAAGAGCCAGTTGAGACTAAGGATCAAACAACTACAAAGGGTCAGGCGGATTTAAGGGTCAGTTGAGTGTGAAAGATCACGCGAATCTACGAGTCAGTTGAGCCTAAGGGTCAAAAGAGTACGAAGGTTCAGGCGAATCTAAAGGTCAGATGAGTAAAAGGCTGGGTTGAATTTAAGGGTCAGTTCAATCTAAAAGTCAGATGACCTTTGGCTCACCTGACCCTCAGAATCGATCTGACCCTCAGAATCGATCTGACCCTCAGACTCATTTGACCCTTATCTTCGTCTTAGACTCATCTGACTCTCAGGCCCAATAGGGCCTTCGCACTCATCTGACCCATATACTCAACTGACCCTTACACACAACTGACCCTTATCGGACCCTTACAAAATAGACCTTTGGATTCGCCTAACCCTTCGTACTCTTTTGACCCTTAGGCTCAACTCACCTTTAAACTCAACTGACATTCAATCTCAACTGAGGCTTTCATTTATCTGACCCTTAGATTCCACTCACCCTTATACTCATCTGACCCTTATACTCAATTGATCCTTATACTCAACTAACCCTTCTGACCCTTGGACCCAACTCATCAGTACCTAATGTTATTAATCTACTAGTAACATTGTAATTCATTACCGTGTACTCTTTAACACGGTAATGAATTTTTTAATTATCGTCAATAATGACCTTGATACAATCAAATATGGACGTCGAAACTTACAACGTACGTTAACAGAAAACAAACGTCATTAACGTTGAGTCAGTACGTTTAATATACGGTGGATATTGAATGTTTTTCAACGTCCATGGGCCTTCACGTTGAGATAAGTTGCAAGTACGGTGAAAATTCGGCGGAGAATTTGAACATTAAAACAGTATAGGTTCAGAACATTGAAACTACTTCGGGAGACCCGGTAAAATTTTGACTCGGGCATCTGCAATTTTCGCTGCCTGTTAGTATTATAAAGTAATAGAGTTATAAACTTTTATAATATTTCAGACCATGGGGAAGCCCGCCATCAATGTATGTATGGCGAAAAAATAAGACATCACTCAGTGACATGCTCACTGTCACATGCTCGCTGTCCCCCGCTTGTTATTATTCAAATACAAATTTGTATTCATTACCCTGGATTTTCCGGAGAGGACAAATTGTAATCGAGTTTTGAAGAGTTTATTTTTTCAGTGAGACTCGGATGTTCCATTCAATTTCTTCTCGTCCGTTTCATCGATCTTGTAAATCGTGTAATCTTATATGTCGAGCTCAATCGTATCTACTTATTCACTTATCTATCCTTGAGTCGTCTGAGTTTTTCCTCCTCCATTCACTTACAGCTGCGCACGATACTGAGACTAGTCTCGTTGTCGTCTCGTCTCGGTGTTGCGAGACAAGACCAAGACCATACGGGCCAAAAATAATCGAGACGATACCAGCCGAGCCTGCCTCTGACGCCAGACTTTTGGCGAGTCTCGTCGAGTCTTGTTGTTGAAGATTTTTGTAAAATGATATGGATCAATTATCAAGGTACAAATCAGTAGCAAAGTGATAAAACGGCTTAAGTCGACTTATCTCCCGGTAAAGTTTTTGAGGAATATTTCCGAATCTAAGGGAGTTGGCGGAATTTTCGTAATCACATTGTTTGAAACGCAGCAAATAAGTCATTATCTAAAGTTACCGGGCTCAACGGAAAATCTCAGCTGACTTCGGGACCCTTCGGGTTCACGGGCAAATCACGAAGCAAATCGCCAAATATAAAATTGCAGTAGTATCAATTTATTCCTTAAAGAGCATACATCGGTTAGTCTGAAATTCACCTATAGAGTACAGTATCAAAGTAACCGAGTATCGAGTATATCACCGAGTATTATATTGAGTCTAGCGCTCTGTGTAACGCCTCTATTTGATTCAATTATCAATTAATTCCTAGTTAACTATCAATTATTTTGAGTCAATCATCAAGTTTAATATCGAGAAAATCTCTAGTGCAGTGAAAAGACTATTATCATATCGACATTGAGACATTCATCAATTCGTGTATCTCTGAAATCAAGACGTGCGGCTTGCGCTACAAATAAAGTACATCACCAGTGTTTTGTAATCCGCGTGTCTTTAATTTTTACCCTTTCCATATCACGTGTCCACGATCCGCCCTAATATTAGCCTCAATCTCTAACACACATTTGTTACAGCTCTCAATCGGGTCTACAAAAAGGTTATAACAAAAATTTTGCTATCTCCCTTAGATTCCGAGATATTCATTGAAAACTGTTCAATAGTCAAAATTCACTTATACCGTTTTACCACTTCGCTATTATAATAATTGCGGAATGTAAGGGTCAGATGAATCTGAGAGTCAGATGAATCTGAAAGGTCAAATAAACCCTATAGTTTAGATGAATTGGGGGGGGGGGGGGTGATGCGCCATAGGAGCCATATAAGCTCGAAAGCTCAGATGAGGAATAATAGATGAGAACATTTTTCAGTTGAAAAATGCATGTACCGTCCGTCTCCTGGAGTGTGAAATTTTTTTTTTACAAAAAAAAAGAAAAATTTGCGGTTTCTACCACCGAGCACCCATACTTCAAATGTGTCAAATGTGTCGTATATAAAATTCGTTGAATTTTTTGGGAAGTTTGAGGGGACGACTGAGAATATTTTTCAGTTGAAACATTTATGTAGCAATTGATTTCGTGGATTGTAAATGTAGATGTATTTTTTTTTGTAAAAAAAAAATCAAAAAGTACATCTTCCACCACCAAGCACCCATATTCCAAATATTTGTCCGATATCGAATTCGTTGAAACTTCTTTGAGGAGATGAGAGAATCATCTATTAAAGAGATCCTACTTTACGAAGAAGATCCTACATCCAGAAAATTCCAAAGTCGACGGCTTTGATTAAATTGATCCGTTAGGTGCCTGGAATAAATTTCATGTCAATTCATCTTGTCATATTGATGTATTCAATCTGCTGAGCTTCGTAGATTTCATTCAACTTATTGTTACACATAACAAATCTACTTAAAATTGGGTATTTCATTAATAAGAGAAGTTAGAGAAATTTTATTTTGTCCTGGTTTTCCCTACTTACCCCGTTTGTCTTCTATGCCATTTGTCATATATTACTCAAACTGATATAAGACGAATATTCAAGAATGCCGATAAATCTCCAAATTCAATTGGTTCAGAACTCCGAGTCCACTGAAGTTAAGGAACAAATATTTCAATATATACGATGATTTCATTAGATGAGTATAAAAAGGACTCAATACTATTATAAGATGAGTGATAATTGTCTCATCATATTCAGCTTTCATAATTCAGCACTTGATATTTCACAATCGAAATTCTTTATGCGGTACAGAACTCGCCACATTCATTTCTATATATTCATTTCATGGAATGAAACATTTCAAACTATGAATAAAGATTTTCATAATAATATATTTCGTTACAGACGTGGAAAAGGGGGAATGTTAATACAAGTGGGGTAATGTTTTTGGAGTCTCCGGCTCGGCTGGGACCCCCTCCGCTTGCCTCATCGCGATCAGCTGCACGTCCTACGACTGTCTCTAAAAATATTAGGTGTATAACTTAATCTTTCCGTGTTTTAACTTCCCGACCCGAAGGGAGGAAATTATTGTAATGACCCCGAAAATCGAATGTGGGAATTTAAGCATTTCTCCACGTTTCATGACCTTTGGAACCACTTCTGACCTTTTTCAGGTACCTGTCTGTATGTGTGGATGTATGTGTGTGTGCGTGCGTCTGTGACAAAAATTTTGTGCCACGATTTCTCTTGAACAAACGATGCGATTTGACTTTTTTTTTAATCGCTGTATTTTCATGTGACTTGAACCTGATTAGATTATGGAATCAGCGATCGTCTCAGCGTTTCTCCAGTTTTTTCCAAAAAACATCTGGAAAAAAGTCGAAAATTTGCGTTTTTACGTTTTTTTGTTAGAAACGATGAATCTTGATATAACGCACAAATTATGGAATTCTGGAAGACATTGACTCTGCAGTTCACTAGCTTTTTTCGAAATCGATAAACATTCAAGCAACAATTTTTTTTTCTGACAAATTACATATTATCTCGATACGAAATAAGGCGATGTGTGTGCGTGGGCGTGTGTGTGAGTGTGAGCACGCGCACGGATTTGCTTGGGTCACGAAAAAACTATGTGATTTGATTTTTTTTGCAATCATTCTCATGGAACCTGACATTCATTATTCCATTATGCAAACATTTGTCTCGGCGTTTTCAAGTTTTTGATAAAAACTTGTAGAAGACCGTTGAAAATTGGATTTCTTCTCTTATAAATGAAAGGTTTTTTTCGCGTTACATCTGCAAATGATGCAATCATGCACGAAAACATTTAATAGAAAATCTTAGCGAATTCGCAGGAAAATTCTATTGGATTTCTATTGGATTTCTATTGAATTTTCTATTGGTTTTTTACCATTTCTATTGACATATTCGATAGAAAATATTATACGGAAAAAGTCACTAGAATTTGATTTTTCTATAAAAAACCTATTCTATTGTGATATTTTCTGTAAAAACAAATTTCTCGGCTCAAATTTTTTCCATTTATTTTTTCTGCAATCCCTTAAATTAGAAATATTGAACAAACTCAAAATTGAAGAAATCGAGTTGAAAAAAAAGGCTGTGATTAGAAATTGTATATTTCGTCACTAGGCCGAAAAAACTTTTCTGCCGAATATGAGTTTACAACCCGAGCCGAAGGCGAGGGCTGCAATCATATGAGCTAGAAAAGTTTTTTTTGGCCGTATGACGAACAGTATTTTTTGTTATGACGGCCGTAGGCAGAGGTGAAGCGCTGCCTCACGGCCGGAATGACAAAAAGTCTCATTTTGCAATTGAAATTCCGCTTAGCCTCTGGATAATTCGATGTTGAATGTTATTTTATATGCCAAGAACCCAATGGAATGAATTTTCAAATTCCACGCAGCAGTCAATAGGATAGAGCGTTACATTGTCCATAGAGCCTATTCTTTATGTAAATCATGCACGGAGAAAAATTATCAATAAAAATTACGTATATTTTCCGCAATTCCGGAGGGAAATGTGGTTGTAGGAAATTTTACATGATCTCCAAGGATATTTGAAATTGAGGGTCAAGTGGTCTACCGGGTCAATCGACCCACAAAGACTTGTAGGGTTAAGGGTCAAATAGGGTTCACGTTTCAAAATCTCCATTAAAAAAACTTCGTCAAAAAAACTGAAAAATAAAAAAACCTGATTCAATTGAACCTCAAAAAAATTGAAAAGACTTCTCAAAACTTCAGGGAAAACATGCAAAAAAACACAAAAATAGGGCATTAATGACACTGTAGAATCCCAAACACAAACTTGACCCATATTCTTACAACAGACAAGATAAACGAAAGGTTTTATTAACAGAAGTTCAATTTGACAAGAGTTTAATTCACCAAAAGTTTACTTTCCCAAAGTTTATTTAACCACGTTTTTTTGACGAAGGTTTTTAACGAAGTTTTTCAGGCATGCTCCGGTCAAATGGCATTAAGAGTTTAACTGGTTAGAATGGATAAATAATAATAATGGATAAATAAATAATTGTTGTTCCTGGTGTTCCATTCTACTCCCGTCCTCCCTAACAAAAACAAAATGAAGTCATGCAATAGGAAAATCTGTCGAAAAATTACTCAATTAGTTTCGGATAAATATCGTTGAATCTAATGGAGATGGCAAAATTTTCATAGGAACTTTTTTGTAGTCCTGTAAATTCGCAATGAAACAATAGGTCTTCAACAAAATTTCCCTATCGCCGTTAGCCTCCAAGATATTCATAAAAGAGTAAATCGAAGAGTGATCCGTCGATGATTTTCTGCTGAACATCTCGTAATCAATGAAGATAGCGAAATTCACATGACAATCTTTTTTTTAACTTCCCGACCCGTAGGGAGGAAGTTATTGTAATCACCCCGAAAATCGAATGTGGATATTTCATCATATTTCCATGTTTCATGACCCCTGGAAAAATTGTATGACGTTTTTGGATGGGTGTATGTGTCTGTGTGTGTGTGTGTGTGTGTGTGTGTGTGTGTGTGTGCGTATGTGCGTATGTGACCAATATTTTGGTCAACGATTTCTTTAAAACGAATGATTCGAT